GATTTGTTTTCTTTGATCTGTTGTCATGTGTTCACAAGCTTCTAAAACATTTGCCAAAATTAAGGTCTGCTGAATGGTTTTTGCCTTAACCCATATTCTTCCATTCATTCCAAATACTATCTCCAGCGGGTAGAGTTTTCCCACTTCCTGTAGAATTTCACAGTTTGGAGCTAGCAGCCTGGTGAGGAAGAGGAAAGAAAATGAAATTTANTTTGTGTGCACAGCTGCACAGATGTAGTGTTTCCATCCGCAGCTGGACCTGTGAGCCGCCTGGATCCCTTCCCAGCTTCTCCCACTGATCCTTCTTGGATCAATGTTAGATATATATACTTTTTTTATTTTCCAGAAAATCATCTATTTCACATAATTTTCAAATTTGTTGGTATTAATTTTCATATCCTTTTCTAATTATTTCACATTTCTGTGTAATTTTAAATTTATCTTTCTGAATCCAAATATTGATTTGAGTCTACTACCCTTTTTTCATAATTAGATTTGCCAAAGGTTTGTCTGTTTAATTGGTCTTTTCAGAGAACTAACAAATCTATCTTTTTGGTTTCTAGTTCATTAAATTTCTGCTTTTATCATTCTTTCCTTTTGCTTTCTTTGGATTTCAAAATTATAAAACAGATTTGATCTCAATGGCCTTCACTTTTTCCACTAGCTCTTGAAGATGTTGATCTCAACAAAGTTTATATACTTGGTGGACTTGTGGATGAAAGCATTCAGAAAGTAAGTGCACATTTTAGGAAAGTGTATTTTGGAAAGTGGTGCTTAACTTTTTAGAAGCACCTCCCCTGTTAAAATCTTACTCAAAAGGCCTAAAAACTCAACGGGAATAGGAAGAAGGTGGCTAGGTTATCCCTCATTCTTGGCCCTCCCTCTCTCATCAGCAGTGTCAGCAGTCCTGACCTGACAGAATCCAGTCAGGAACTGGAATGGTGTTTGGGAATTACATCAGTAGCCGTTGTTGAACTCCTTTCTCTTGCCCTCTCTTCATTTTTGTAAGGATAACTCTGATCTTGACCAAGGAAGCATTGACTCAGCATTCTTACCAGCTATTTGTTCGTTGCGAGAGAGTAGTTTGCTCCTTCTTAGTCCATCTTCCCTGCTGACATATCTTACAATCTCAGCGTCCATAGTACTGTCCCGATTTCTTTTGTAGAATTAGAATTTTATTGGAATAATTGGGAGTTTTTCAGTATTCTATCATATAACTATTTGTTGATAATTTTATTGGTTTATGTTTACTAATTAACATTGAATAGATAATAAAAGTGAAGTAATAATTAAAATGCATAAAAAAGGAATACAGTGAGAAATAAGTCTCCCTCCCATCCTTGACCCACTGTGTCCCCCACTTGAGGCAACCACTGTTTTCTTGTGTATCCCTCTTGATATGTTCTATGATCACACAAGTATCTGTTTGTGGGTATATCTCATATATATGTTTTTCATATGTGTGACTGTATTTTACATATATTTTCATATATGTATGAGATACACATATTTAACACAGATGATATTTAACCGAATTGCATTTATTAAAAAGGTCAGTGTTCCATGACTCCATAGTGATAATCTAAAAAAAATGGGGGGTGGAGAGGGTTGTTCTTAAGAATGCCAGCTAATAAATGAGAAATGCATAATAGAATTGAAAAATCAGCATTTTGTCACTCCCTGGATAATCCTTGACTCAGTGAATTGATTGAACAAAAGGTTGTTGGGGAACTGACTCTCCACGTGGTCTCGAAAATATCGCCCCACAGATTACAAAGGCAAAAATGTACCATTGCAGTGAAGTGATCTGGAGGTCACCATCTTAACCCAATGATCAAACTTAGAATCACCAGTAGTGACATTAGGTGTCTTCTGATGTGATGGAATCTCACCTATGAAGTATTCTTACAAGACAATGTTTAAATTGAATCAAACGGAAAAAGGTCTAGGATGTGAGGCATTCTGCAAGACAACTGGAACAGACTTTCAAAAAAGTCAGTGTAATGAAAATTAAAATAGTCGGGATGTGGGGACGGTTGTTTTAGATTAAATGATTAAAGACATAACAGCTAAATGCTGTCTCCCACAGTGGAGTGACAGCCCCTTTTTTGAAGCAGAAAAGTCTAGAGGGTCATTGAATAGCATATGATCTATAGATGTGCAGTTGTTGACACATTATCCTCTTTTATTTCTCAACCAATGTTTATAGTGAAAAACAGCTGGCACAAAGATTTGTCAGATGTCTAGAACTTTTGGGTTGTTTCTGGAGAGTTTGGCTTCTTTACAGAAATATGCTAAGAACATTTCTTCAAGAGGAGTTGTTTTATGTTTACATGTTCAGAGAACACAAACCAGACTGTAAGCTCCTCCAGGGCAGCATCCGAGTCTCCTGCTAACTTTGAATTCAAAGTGATTGTAAAGTGACTTTAAAAAAAACCATCTCACATATGCAAAGAGTGTTATCCTTCAAAGAAGTCCTCTGAGTAGTTGTACCTTTATCTCATCTGAATCACATCCCTTAAAACATTTTTGGGAGTTCTCTCTTGGAATTGTGTTTTGTGTGAGCCTGAGAAAGAGGTAGTCCAGATGTCAGAACAAAGAAGGTGCTAGGCCTGTTTCACGCTACTCCAGTTGGTTAGACCATACTCATGGTGGCCAGTCAAATATGGGACTGTAAATGAAAGGACATCGATAAGCTAGAACAAGTTCAGAAGAGGTGGACCTGAATGATGAAGGGACTCAAAACTAAGTCATAGTCAAGGAACTGCGACTATGAGTCTGGAGACGAGAGGATTCAGAGTGGCATGATCACTACCTTCAAATATCTGAATTGGCTATCTTGTAGAGGGGCCATTTGACTTGCTTGGTGTGGCCCTGGGGGAATAGAAGTAGGACAAATGAGAGGAAGTCTCAGATAAAACAGCAAATTTGGCTCAATATCAAGGATTTCTTACTTTAGGTACTGTCAATCCCCAGGATACATGAACTCCCTGTCACAAGGGTTGTCCATTTAAAGCCAGAGAACACTTGGGAGAGGGGTCATAGAGGATAGACAAACATGCATGATGTGTGGTAGAAGTGGAATTCTTAATTATTGAGGCCCCCGAGTATGTTAGTTACCCCAGTAATCTAAACCTTTCTCTTTAAACCTGAAATTGCAAAAAGGTAGATGATCTTCCCAGAGCTTCTTCCAAGGTAGCAAATATAATTTAAACTCATGACCCAGGGACACCTTTAAACGGACATCAGTTACTGTACTCTGACCCTAAATGCCTCAGATTGTTGGACTTGAGCTCTTGTCACCCGTTTACAGTTTTGAGAGCCCTTCCTTTTACTGGGCTGTGTGCTTGCACCCTTAATGTTGACTAGCTGCTAGTGGTGTACCTGACCTGAATCTAATGTGCTCCCTCCTCTCTAATTCGCTGCTACCAATTGGCTCTGAGCTGAAAACTCCAGCTATCCAGAACAGGGTTTTACTGAGTTAGGGCTGGGCTTGTTCCTCCAACTGCTTTTTTTGGATGCAAATTGTGTCTGTAGATATGCCTCCTCTTACTTATTTCCTTCTTGGTTGTACATAGTAGTGAGTGGAAGCTAGTGGTTAAATGACTCCCAAGTGAGGTGTTGCCGCACAATCCATTTCTTACTTGGGACAGATACTCTTCATGATCTGCAAGACTTAATTATCTGCTGTTTCTTCCAGTCTACCATAGGCTACTTGTTTTTAATACACTTATCATTAATTATGATTACAGATGGAAATTGGAGTGGTAGTAAATGGGGNAAGGAAGGATTTCTAAGTAAAAGTAAACTAGCCTAGGCAAGAAAATGAACACAAATTTCAAATCTTAAAATCTTTGCATTTTACTGTAAGTAAATTATACCTCAAAAAGAAATTTAAAGGTCAAAGTAACTGACAGAAAAATAAAAAATAAAAGGGGTTAATTTAAGTGATTTAAATTCTATGTTTGATAGGAAGTCAGTAAAATTCAAAGTTGATGAATCAAGAAGTAACGGTGACAGTTAAAAAGAGTCACAGGGAGGTAAAGTGCAGCATAGGAAATATAGTCAGTAATATTGTAATAATTATATATGGTGTCAAATGGGTACTAGACTCATCAGAGTGATCATTTCCTAAGTTATGTAAATGTCTAATCACTATGTTGTACACCTGAAACGAATATAACATTGTATGTCAACTGTAATTGGAAAATTTTTAAAAATAATTAAAAAAAAAAAGTAGTAATGGTATAAACCAGAAGAACTAAAAACACCTTGTTAAGGGTTGCCACTAGATGTGGAAGGGGTCAGAGTGAGGATCATTACTTTTCATTATAAAAACATGTGTTTTTACCATATGCATGAATCGTATTATATAGATTTGCTTTTTCAAAGATGTACTTTTCCTAAAATGGTGCTAGCACACTAGACTCAGGAGCATCCATGAGCAATAGTCAGACCATTCTTTGTCTGTGATACTTAACTGTAGACTGGAGCATTTTATACTCATATCTTTCTCGGGATTTTGAACACCACTTTGAAATTGTGCCATTCATTAAGTGTGTTACAACAGTGGTGCTCTATGTTTTTCTACCTTGGCACTTCTGAGGGAAGGCCTGGGGACTGGCTTTCTGCTGCAGTGATGCTTAGCTGAGTTGGGGGCAGGAATATGTAGTTTGGAAAAACAAATTCTGATATATCACCAGCAGCCTGGAAGAATTCTTGGTTGGTTTCGAGACACTCTTTACCACGTTTTTTGGCTAGCTCTTCATCGTCCAAGGATGTTTCTAGTACAGGACTTTACATATAATAGGTGCTCAATAAATATTTGCTAATAGAATGGTTTCAAAAAATAAACTGAAATGTAAGGGAGGTGGCTTTTGCGTCTATGTCCCATCTTCAACTTATGCATGCATTTCAATAAACACCATAAATGACTTGGTTTCATGTGTCACAGTTATGTAATGTCTCACATAATTGTACCCTTTTCTATCTATGAAAAGGACAGAGGACTAAGCACATGGACTGGAAATTGGAAGGGAGCGCTCAGGAATCAGAGTCACACGTGTTGCAGGAGCAAGAAGTCATCCTTGAGGATACAGGTGAAGATGGCGTCTCTGAAAGCTTCCGGCTTCTGCAGATTGATGTGGAATGTGAGCATCAGGAGGGAGAGACCCTGCCCACAGGCAGTGCGGCGTGGTGCTCGGTGAGTGCAGCAGTGTCTATGGGCTGTGAGATGATGAAAGGCACCCGAGACCCCTGTTCTAAGGGTAGAAACTGGTAGCAAAAAAGCTGGGAATGAGTTTGGTGTATTCCAAGGGTTGAATATCCTGCTAACTGGTATAAGGCTTCAGTTCCATTTGAGTCATAGGGAAAGTAAATAAAGTTCAATAGGAATTTTTTATATACCTTAGAAGGGCCAGGAAATCTAAACTTTGCTTTAGGCTGGCATGTCACATCTCTTTCCTGGGGCTCTGCTTTCTCTAAACACAATCTAGTCTATTTTTGTTTATAAGATTAATACCCTTTTTTCTTTCCTAATGTTAAATCTAATTTTAAAAAAGTAAGTAACTGTTTCTAATATTCATTTTCCCTTTGGTGCTTATGAAGTTCTCAAACAATTTTGTTTTCTGGATAACCAAAGAAAAATGTCCAAAGAAAACAGAGACACTGGGAAAAAATAGTTGCAGCAAAGAAGAGCAAAAGAAAGCAAGAAAAAGAAAGAAGAAAAGCCAATCGTGAAGAAAATTCAGGTAACAATAAATCAGATTGCTGGTATAAGTATATTTATTTCTTAGCAAACTAGTATCTACATGTTCCTAGGAGAGTAGGAATATTGTTTTTAAGTGAAAACAGACATCTGGGAGGTAAAAACTATTGTCCTATTTTCTCAGGAATCAAAGTATCAAAGAAAACAAAATTGAAGTCCGCCTTTCAAATATAAGCTATCTAGTGTATATATGTGTTTATGAACTCAGAAGTAGTAGGAATTATACCAACAACAGCAACAGCTGACATTTATTCAGTGCTATGTGCTAGATTCAGTACTCAGAATCTTACATGGATTACCCTAAGGGGTAAGCCCTTTTATTATCCCCGTTTTGTAGGTGAAGAGACTGAGGCTCAGAGAAATTAAATAACCTGGTTAAGATGATACTGGTAATAAATGAACAAACTGAACTTAGATTTAGACCCAGCCGTGTGCTCCAGAGCCAACACTCCTCACCGCTCTGCTGGACCTAAACTGCCTGATGAATGAATACCTTGCAAGAGTTTCAAGTTTTTCTTCATATGCAAATAGCACTCATCTGGCTGGGGAGATTTGTTTCTTACTGAATGTTATTCCTGTTTTCCCACTTCTGTTCTTTTCTGATATTTCTACTCTAGGCATCTGCCCCCAGCATAGCAAACGTTTTCTGAGATCCTTAACCAAGGAGAAACTTTTGGAAGCCAAACACTCAGGACCAAGACTCTGTATTGATCTGAGTATGACCCACCACATGTCTAAGAAGGTAGAACATCCACTAAGTTCTGACTTCCTACTCACATGAGAGAGGTCCAGAAGGGAGCAGCTTTCATGAAGAGCATGACCAGCTGCAGCTTCTGTGATTCTGTAGTAAATCAGCAAAAGTGTTTCGTTTCCTACATGTGGCTAAGTTCCAAGATGGCTATGTAAAGAATCAGGGAGAGAATAGACATCCCCTTGTTTAGTTGGGAAATTTTTACTCTATTTCTGTTTTGAGATCAACCCTTTGCCTCTGTGTTCATGGTGTTCCCAGTCTAGATGGAGCCTTTCAGGGTCAATTTCCCAGAGATGAAATCTTTGGCTTTCTGCTAGGGAGAGAAATATTTGCCTCGTTGCTTGTTGTGGGGAGATTCCCTGGTGGGAGGTCTTCCTGCAATGTATGTATTTTAGTGGTCTCCCATTCTCCCTATTGGTGAAGGAAGGATTTCTANCGGTCAGCCAAACCACGAAGGCCAAACCTTTCCCTACATGCCCCGAGGGGCGGGGCAGAGGGCGGAGCGCGCGGGAAGGCAGCTTGGTGTCTGCATCGCGTGCCACCATGTCTGCCCTTCGCGGCCTGGGCGTCTTGCGGCCCCTGGTAAGTGAAAACACACCGCCGGGGCTGGGGTTGGTGTCCAGGTTTCTGGGGATGCGAGGACCCCCCGTGTGCGGTTGTGTGGGAAGCCAAGACCACGAGCGAGGGCGCGGAGACCCGCAGGCTGGTCCCGGGGTCATGTGGGGTCACGGTTATGAAGTTTGTGTTTCCGAACTGTGCGTGCTGCCTTTTCTGGGTGTCAAAGTGGCCACAGCGATTGAGGATCACAGTCGCAGGCGCACTTCCGGAGTGGAGGCCACGTCCTGCCCTTAGCCCAAGCGTGGGGTCTTCCTGGTGGATCTGCCCTGTTTGGAGGCTTGCCGGCTGGGAGCCAGTGCAACAGTGTACTCCCTCTGAAGTAACTCCTCCTCATTTCTGAGTATTTTCTTCGGGAAACTACCAGATTACCATTCGAAAAAGGTTGGACCGAAACACGGCCTTCAGGAATCTCTCCTCAGAACTTCCTCTTTAGTAATTTTTCCTACTTTAGAAGTTGGAAAAATGGCATCTCACGGTTGCTTTTCTTTGTTGATTAGGGAGGCTGGGCGGTTTTTTTCCTTTCAGTCTGCCACACTAGTTGAGCCTTTGCTGGATCATGGTTGCTGCCCTGAGGGAGTTCACTGTCTCCAAAGGAAAATACCAAGTGTGACAGTGGCAGTAGCTGCCTGATTAGTATTAGCCCTGAAATTACAGAGGATAAAATAGTTACCTCTGTGTGGGAGGAAGATAGGTGTCCCGAAAGAGGTACTATTTGAGTGAACCTTTAACATTTTTCAGTTCATTGGTTTCTAAAAATTACAAATCAACTACATGCTTAAATTAATAGCAAAAGAGTCCATGGAAGTGATGTTAATATCTGTATTCAAGTAAAGGGTTTAAATATAAATGCTCAGAATTATCACTGCACAAATGAACATCTACTTGCTACAGATGTTTTTAATTACAAAGAATTCTGTCTGGGAAGAATTAAAGAGAGCTTTAAAGAGTGTAAGAGTAGCTATAAGGACCATCTATTACCCCTAGTACTGAGATAGAGCGCCCAAGAAGAGCCCCTCCCCCTTGGCAGGACTGACTGAGACCTTGTTGGAGAGGGCATTGCTGTGGCTCATTAAGTGGCAAGAAGTCCCTGGGAATCTGTGCCAGTGGAACTTGCTAGAAATCCACCCTCCAGAACTTGCTAGCACTTCGAGGGTGCTGGGGAAAGCTATTCCTGGGGAGGTGTCTCCTGAAAGCCTGTTACAGAACTGCCCCATAGGGTGGTAGGGAAAACTGCTGGCTGCTGGGTTCTTCTGGCTACCAATCAGAATGGGAGCAAACACTGGAGAAGCTGCTTTGCAGCTTCTGTAGAAGTATACCAGAGAGCACACTGGAGCCAGGAAGCAAAACCCATTCTTCTTGCAATGCCTCTGCTGGGCCTTCTACCTATAAAGCTTATCTTCATGATAGATAGCACAGGAACAATATTTTAAAGGCCCAGATCCATTTTCTCAGAGCAGGCAGTGAAGGGTGAGTTTAGAGCTGAGTGGCAGTATGTTGATAACTGGCCCAAGGTCTCATGAGGTGATAAGATCAACAAACTCGTCAGTAACAGCAATAAGGTAGAGTCTGCCCAGATCTGGATGGCTTCACTGCCTAATTCTACCAAAGATTTAAAGAATTAATGCCCATTCTTCATAAACTCTTCCAAAAAAAAAATAGAAGAGGGAACATATTCCAACTCATTCTGTGAAGCCAGAATTACCGATATCAACCCAAAGATATCACAGGAAAAGAAAACTACAGATCAAGATCAATTATGAATCAAGGCACAGAAATCCTCAACACAATACTAGCAAACTGAATTCAGCAATGTATAAAAAGGATTATACACCATGACCAAGTGGGATTTATCCCAGGATTGCAAGATCTTTTAACATCTGAAATCAATTACTGTAATACACCATATCAATAGAACAAAGAACAAAACCACATTATCATCTCAATACATGCAGGAAACAGCATTTGAAAAGTCCAACACCCTGTCATGATTAAAAAGAATCAATAAACTAGGATTAGAAAGGAACTTAACCTAATAAAGGACATCTACAAAAAACCCACAGCTAACATCATACTTCATGGCAAAAGACTGAAAGCTTTTTCCCAAAGATAGGAACAAGACAAGGAGTCAGCTCCCTCAACTCCATTCAACATTGTACTTGAGATTCTATCTCAGGCAATTTGGCAAGAAAAAGAAATAAAAAGTATCCAGATTGCAATGGAGGAAGTAAAATTCTCTATATGTAGGTGATATAATCTGGTATATAGAAAACCCTGAGGAATTCATTAAAAAAAAATGTTAGAACTAACAAAATGATTTCAGCATGTTTGCCAGATTTAAGAACAATATGCAAAAATCAGTTGCATTTCTGTACACTTGAAATGAACAACCAAAAAGTGAAATTAAGATAAGCATTCCATTTACATTATCATCAAAGAGAATAAAACATTTGAGAATAAATTTAACAAGAAATGCCCAACTTAAACTCTAGAAACTATAAAACATTGTTAAAAGAAATTAAAGATCTAAATAATTGGAAAGGTACCTCATGTTCATGGATCAGAAAATTTAATAATATTGTTAAGATAATACTCCCTAAATTGATATACAGATTCAATGCAATCCCTATCGAAATCCCTACTGTCTTCATTGCAGAAATTGACAAACTGATCCTAAAATTCATATGGAAATTCAAGGGACTCAGAAATACACACACACACACACACACACACACACACACACACACACACACCACCCCGCCCCCCAAGTTGGAGGACGTACACTTCTGATTTCAAATCTTACTGCAAGTCTTACAGTAATCAAAGCAGTGCAGTACTGGCATAAAGATAGACGTAGATAAATTGAAAATATAGAAGTAAACCCTCACATTTGTGGTCACCTGATTTTTAACAAGGGTGCCAAGGCAATTCAATGGGGAAAGAAAAGTCTTTCAACAAATGGTATTGGGACAATTGGATATCCACATGCAAAAGAATGAAGTTGGACACCACCACCCCCAAACTATATACAAAAATTAACTCCAAGTGGATCAAAGACACTTCTTCAAAGAAAATATGTGAATGGCCAATAAGCACATGAAAAGATGCTCAATGTCATTAGTCCAGGAAATGCAAAAGTACAACCACAGTGAGATACCACTGCACCCCCACTAGTATGGCTATAATCAAAAGATAATAACAAGTGTTGGTGAGGATTTGGAGAAATCAGAACCCTCGTATTGTTGCTGATAGGAGTGTAAAATGATGCAGTCATTTTGGAAAACAATTTGACAGTTCCTCAAAAAGTTAAACACAGAGTTACCGTATAACATGGCAATCCACTCCTAGGATATACCCAAGAGAATTGAAAGCCTGTGTCTACACAAAAAAACACATGACTGTTCATAGCAGAATTATTCATAATAGCTCAGAAGTGAAAACAACATAAATGTCCATCAGCTGATAAATGCGTAAACAGTTCCATACAACGGAATGTTATTCAAGCCTAAAAAGGAACAAAGTATTGATGTGTGCTACCACATGGATGAACCTATAAAACAGTATTCTAAGTGGAAGAAACCAGATACAAAAGGCCACATATTGTATGATTCTGTTTATATCAAATGTCCAAAGTAGACTATAGAGACAACAAGTTGATTTGTGATTGCCAGAGGGGAGAATGGAAGTTATTGTTTAATGGTTAGAGTTTCAGTTTGGGGAGATAAAAAAAAAAAACATTTTGGAGATGGATGGTGGTGATGGTTCCACAACACTATGAGTATACTTAATGCCACTGAATTGGACACCTAACATGGTGAAGTTTATGTTGTGTTTATTTTACCACAATAAAAAGAAATACTTCCACAGAAAAAGGGGAAGGATAGATGAATCAAGTACGGCAAAATTCTAATAATTATTGAATCTGGATGATAGGCACATGGTTGGCTTTTTAATTCTATTCTAATTTTTTTGAAATTTTTCATAATTAAAAAAAAAAGTAGTGTGGAGATAGGCAAAATACCGGGGGTGCCAAAAATAGTATGTAAGCGGACACTTTGGTCAACGTTGCTTTGTTGACCGAGCAGTAGCTCGCCATAATCAGAAGTGTCTGGATGCTGATGGAAACCACTTTGAGCACCCCTTGTAATTGCAGAAGTCAAAGATGACTTATTCATCTTTTGTTATTGATATATATTGAGTATTACAATTTTAAGTTTTCCTTTCTTAAAATGTATATACATTTTTTGGCACCCTGTGTAGATAGATATCTTCTCTATGATAGTTCAGCCTGATGGAGCAAATAATTGTTATGAAAAATTATTGCAGAACAAACAAAAAAATAAAAACAGCTTTGACCATGCCTTTCTTCTGTGTGAAAACTGTTCAGGGGCATCATATCACCTACAGGAAAAAAAGCCAAGACTCTCTGTGACCCTGGTCTTTGCTCACCTTGTCACCCTCACACTGCTCCTCCCTGACTTTCATTTCTTCTAAGTAATACCAAATCACTTGTAAATTTCCCACATAATGTGCCCTGATCTGTGCTATTCTTCATGTCATGTATGCCCTCTGCTTAAAATTCCNAAAAAAATCAAACTCCCTGTGTCACCAACTTCACCAAAAATGTATAAAGTTCTTCCCCTACATTGTCAGAGCACCTTAATTCTAGGCTTTAGAATCATAGCTTCTAAAAGTGCTAAAAGAACACTTTAAACATAATTTCCTGACCATGTCAGTCTGGAATTAAAATAACTACTTGGAGAGAAGCATTAACTTTTGCAAACCACAAGGGTGCTGCTTGGTTAATAGTATGCTTCTCTAATGTCCTGAACTATTTCTCCAAATCTGCAGAATAAGTAGCAAAGAGAGACATGCAAGATAGCTCTGAATTTCAGGATCTAGAAGTAAAGCCCTTTAATAATAGGACACAGCTTTGGGTAAGTAAAGGTCTAAACACCTAACAAAGTCTAACTACTAAATCTACCAGGACAACTTCCATGACTATCTACATAAGCTGAGGATCACATCAGCCTAGCTGCACTGGCTCCCATTATTAGAGAAATTTGGTGATTTTGTACAATTGTAAAATGCATGTATACAAGTGACTTAGAAGGGGGAAAGCCAGTTTTTACATTTGGGCTAAGTATATCAGCTATAAGGAACAGCAGACCTTCCGGGAGAGAAGACTCCATGTCAACACAACCTACACTGCCAAGTACACCTGAATTCGATGTATTTATTGTATATTACGAGGTTGGGACTAAATGCATGAGTTTACAACTGTGCTAAAATGAATAATGATTTTTTAACTGAGGAGATTCAGACATAAAGAAGAATCCAAATCACAAAGAACCGTCAGCTTTTCAAGAAGGTA